ATATATATATATATATATTAATACATACCATGATACACAAATAAACATTATGAAACATTCTCTTTGTACAGAATTGCTCTTTTTAATTTCTAATATCACAAATTGGTGCACAATATTTATTAATTTCTGAGTTGAAGTCATGAAAACAAGGGTAAATTTCAAAAATGTGTACCCACCCGATTGGATACAGCCGCAAGGAAAAGTGACAACTGTGCTAAGATTTGGTGTATAGGCCTATAAGTTATGCAACATTTATTGATCATTCTATAATAATAATAATGGTACTTCAAATCATGGACCTATTAATTATATTAATATATTATTAATATGTCCATGTATAAATGCAGAGGATTAAAGGCAACCAAAATGTGCATTACACTATTTATTCTATGGTTCTGCTTTAAGTTTAATACTGTACTCAGCAAATGCATTGGATTGTTCACTTTTCTCTGAAACTAAACATTTCCATAATACATCAGCATGGCTAAAGCAGAACACTCGCTATCAGATTTTTGTCTGTTTGATTTTCGATTAGAATTTGATAAAGTAGAAATCTTCTGACATGGGAAGACACAAATTGTTTGAACAGATATATCTGAAACAAGCATTCCAAGTCTGATCAAACTTAACCTGGTAAAATATTATGGTGTATGAGTTCCCACACACTAAAGAACAAATGATAAGCATGATTAACAATTCATATTTGACAATAAAACGAATCCTGGCGATTATTGTTATTTTTTTATATTATTGAACATACATTACTTCCTGTTAATTTTATTTCTATGCATTATTATTACAGTACCTCTTCATTTAAAAAAAATCCCTTTACAAAATGAAAATGTCTTCTTTTATATCACAATAATTACAGCATTCAAACATAATTTTGTCTATTTTTCAAATAAATTTATCAATTACGGACAGCAGATCACATGCAAACACATGCTCAATTATTTCATTTTCAAATAACAATTTTCATACCTAACTTTGAAAAATTAATTTCTCATCTCTACTTACTTAATTTTTGCTGCTACTCAAATTCCATCCCTACCCTAATCCTGCCCCAATTTCAATTTCCATCCCTACCCCAATTTCAATAATTTTAGTAGCTGGAATAGCAATTATGTCTATTAATGGTAATTTTAGTATTAATCTACTGTATTTTGGCCCATGTAGATCAGATATAGTTTAATACTAGCACAAGGGATTGATCTGAAAAGTAAGCCTTAACGATTGGACAGTTTTTTTACATGGCAAAATAAAAAACAACAAAACTTTCAATACAGCTGTTATAAAACTATTCACTAAATACAGTACAGGAGGAAACAATGGTAAATTTAACACATTATACTGTTTGGTTTTATATCAAGTACACATTTCTATCTCTTACTCCTTATAATTCTATTAATAAAACGATTTAAAAGCCCCTTCAAGAAAATATGCAACTTAAATCTTTTAAGTACAGTTGAAAATACAGTCTGTTTAAAAGCACAAGGCATTTGGATGTCACTGAAGCAGTGTCCAATTTAACTACAGTACATGTGTACCTGTAAATGAGGTAGTACCTCATTTACAGGTACATAGCTGAATAACTCATACAAAAGTGAGGATTACAGTACACAAGTGGTTGAGGTACATCAGTGGTTGGGGTACACAAGTGGTTGGGGTACACAAGTGGTTGGGCTATACATATTGTTGGACTAGTGACACCGAATTGGCAGACATGGCACAAGCCACACCAGCTATCCTATATAATATGTTGTCTTATAGCACACCATGCATTATGCATGTCCTCTATGCATCTTGCATTATTACTTGGGAGAATGTAGCCACTTCAGGGTTTAATGAGCTTTTGAAGGAGTGCGAGACCGGGCTGTGATTTCCAGGAGACTCTCGCAACCTGCAAGAGATTTGGGTATCCTGAATACAGTACAATTCACATCAGATGCCTTAAAGATGTACTATTAGTCATAAGGTAAGGATTGAAAAATTAAAATTAAAAATTAAAATAAAAAAAATAAAAAAATCCCCCATCAATTTTTGGACAGTTAAATAACTTTCTTGTATCGTTTGCATAAATCTTTAAATTGACTGGTAATCAATTAAAGGATTTTTGAAGTAAAATTTACGTAAAACGGTGAAAATTACTTTTTTTTCCCAATCTGTTTGGTTGTATGCTAATAATTTTTTAGGTATTTTCCTGTATTTTTGACTGATAGTACATCTTTAACACCTGGTGGTGGTCACACCAGGTATCACTGATAATAAAACTACTTAAGACTTTCAGTATTATGAAAATACGCCTAATAGTCAGCTAAAACTGGGCATTCACTGCATCGTACGACCGTCGTACAAAAAATCCAACTACGCTCTCTGTGAGCGATAGACGATACGATGACGTCTGCTGGTTCTCAGCAGCAGTCTGAACTGATCGTCATTAAAAATGATCCGTTGCGCATGCGTCTTCGCGTTGCGTTCTTTATAGCATCGCTTCGGCCGACGACCGTTATGCACAATGAGTGCCCGTCTTTAGCAGTAAAAATAAATACAATACTCAATACCAATAAAAAATATTTATCAAAAATTGAATACAAATTCTATTAAGACTATAGTTTTCAACTATAGAGTACAACGCATGTGTCGTCACAACACCAGGTGGCGCCCTTTGTTGTCAACCAGATGTTGGTAAAGCGGTTATTACGTCTGAATGACTTCATCATAATCTTAATAATTTAGAATATCCTTTCTGGAATAGGCATTTTAAAACCTAATAATTTACCATCAAAATGTTCTAAAAACACAAAAGCTCGCATTGTATTAGTTATCAAACACATATTTAATCATCAATTAAAATTCACAAAGAAAAATTAAGAAACAACATCATAATAATTACGTTAAAAACTAGGATCAATGGTTTGTCAGTGGAGACAATGGAGCCGGTTGACCGCATTTTGGGTCGCTGATAGCAACGGAATAGTATCACATGATATCGTGACGTACAAATGTAGTAAACCCAGAATAAAAATAAATAAAATTCACAAAATACATCTACAGGAAGGATTAATGCTGCAGGACTAACATTTCATGTTAAATAGCTCATTATTTACACATTTATTTGGTCATGGGTAAGTTTTTCAAACTCCCATTTACATTTTGTGAACTAGAAATACATAATAAACCCTTCAAAAAAATAATCAATTTATATAATTTCATTTCAAAAATTAAAATAGCATTAGCAAGAAATTATAAATTGGTGGGTGGTAGTATTTAAACAAAAGTATTAAAAATCACAGTCGTTGAAAAAATTTAAATGATTAACACAATTCTTTTTTCTTAATTCAAAACACTGTTGTTACTTACTCTAAGTCATAATTTACACAAGTTTCACGTTTAAAAAAACAAATAACATAAACTTTATTTTATTTACAATATAGAAAAAAAATTATTAAATACATGTAATGCGATCACCGGTCTGGTGAACGTTCGTAAGGTTTAGCTTTTTTACGTTCTTTGCAATGTTTCTTATGGACAGGCCAGTCTCTTTGTTGACATGCTGTTCCGCAATATCGTACTTCTTGGCAACGTCCGCAAATACTAAATTCTCGTAACTATAAAACAAAACAAAGAGCGATAATAAATACTGTACTCTATTAAAATAATAACAGTGCACAAAGAGGAACATTTTGTAATAACTGTATAAATAATAACAGTGCACAAAGAGGAACATTTTGTAATAACTGTATCAAGCATATCTCGCCAGCTATACACTTAAGCGTGGCAGGACCGCCACGCTTGGGTGAAAAACGGAATGACCCCCACGCTTACTGTAGGCAAAATAAGCAAAGATTGCGCCACTCTTAAGATGTTAGCGCCACGCTAAAAAAAATTATGTATTAAATATATTTTATTTAAAAAGTTACAACAATAAATACCAAAGTGCCAAACTGCAGGCAACTCCACAATGTTTCCAAGGGGAACAGTACAGTACTTCTTCAATCGCATATCGTGAGGACGCACCCAGCTGCAGGATCTCTTTGTATGCTGCCTGTGCTTGCAAGTAGGCACCTGTGAACTCAGGAAGGTCCCTTGTCGGCTGTGTACATGTGTGACGATCGTAATATTTAATGCAATGTCCGTTTTTTTACGGTGATTGGAAAAACAACATTTAATTAATTGAATTTATGTGAATTTTATGTGAAACACGTTTTTTCACACTGAATTTCGCCAGGGTATTAAAAAAAAAATAGTAAGGCTAAACGATTGCCTGCCCTGTGAAAGTTTTACTGACAACTCAATGGTAATTAATCGTTATAGATAAAATTATACCACGATTAAAAATTGATGGTTCTAAATAGGCAGGAGTACTCTTTATCCACGTGGTGTTATCTTCAAGCAATGCTCCATTTTTTCCTAATGGCTGAGCACATTGAACGAAGGCATCGCATTTCGACTATCAGTTATAACTAATACTTCAAAAGTAATGCGTATTTTGTTTTTAATATGATGAGCTATTTTCTTTATCTTAATTTTAATACCGTAGTCAACCTAATATACTGTACACGTCTGATTCGGAGGAGGACATGGCATTAAATTGTAGGGAGGACCTGTAGGCCTAGAAAGTACCGCTTAGAAAATTGTGGACAACCAGCCGCGCGTGAGCATTACAGATAAAAAAATATGCACAGGCTAGACCTGATTTTATATTTAGGCCAGATGTAATATTGACTAAAGTCTATGTACAGTACCTTCAAGTTTACGATCTTATTTTAGAGATAGTTGTAATATTGAAGCATCTTTAGCATAGTCCTGATCTTAGTTTATGATCGCTAGATATGATAATTAACACGCACGACAAGCTAAGTTGTTGGGTCAGTTCTCTCTACTAAAATGAAAAGTATCGTCGGATTTTGGATTTTGTCATATGTGAGGTCTCACCACGAAATGAGACGCTATTCATCATATCATATTGAGATATTCCCCAAAACAGGCCAAGTCAACATTTTTACAAAATTTTGATTTTAATGTTTTTGAATAACTTGATACTTATATTCTATGATTGTATACTTTGTAAGTGAATTTTCTTGCCAAAACAGTGTTCTCTGCACATATTCTGTAATTCTAGTCATATTATTTGTACAGGTTAGTTTATCTTTGAGGCTGATTTTCTCAAAACTTGGTTCTTATACACCTAAACTTTAAATGCTC